TTTTTTTTCATAAAGATCTGGTTCATTTTTTGAGATTATGCCAAGATTTTTAAAGTTAAGGAAAGCACGGGTTGAATTTAAGAGGTCTTTATTCATTTAGTATACTCGGCGTTTCTCACCTGTGTGACCTCTCTTATGGATAGAAAGGGATGCTCTTTGAGAGAATGCTTTCCCACATTCATTACATTCAAAGGGTTTCTCTCCAGTGTGACTTCTCATATGTATAATAAGTAATGAGCACTGAGAGAAGGCTTTTCCACATTTATTACATTCATAGGGTTTCTCCCCTGTATGACTTCTAACATGAAGAGTAAGCGAAGAGATTCGAGAGAAGGCTTTACCACATTCATTACATTTAAATGGTTTTTCTCCAGTATGAATTTTTTCATGCTCAAGGAGGTTCTGCCTCTGACTGAAAGCTTTTCCACACTGATTACAATGATAGGGTTTCTCTCCAGTGTGAATTTTCTCATGTTCAGTGAGATTTGATTTCTGACTAAAGGCTTTCCCACATACTGTACATGCATAGGGTTTTTCACCAGTATGAATTCTCTGGTGTCGAATGAGGTTTGACATCTGAATAAAAGCTTTCCCACATTCATTACATTCATAAGGTTTCTCTCCAGTATGAATTTTCTGATGTGTGATGAGATTTTCTTTCCGGCTGAAGGCTTTTCCACATTCATTACATTCATAGGGTTTCTCAGCTGTATGATTTCTCATATGTACAGTAAGGGATGAACTTTGAGAGAAAGCTTTCCCACATTCGCTACATACATAGGGTTTCTCACCTGTATGACTTCTCATATGTATAATAAATACTGAGCACTGAGAGAAGGCTTTTCCACATTTATTACACTTATAGGGTTTCTCCCCTGTGTGACTTCTCATATGTAGGGTAACAGATGACATTCGAGAAAAAGCTCTACCACATTCATTACATGCGTAAGGTTTCTCCCCAGTATGAATTTTCTCATGCTCAATAAGATTTTGCTTCTGGCTGAAGGATTTTCCACATTCCTTACATTCATAGGGTTTTTCTCCAGTATGAATTCTCTCATGTTCAATGAGATTTGATTTCTGACTGAAGGCCTTCCAACAATCCTTACATGCATAAGGTTTCTCTCCGGTATGAATTCTCTGGTGTCTAATGAGGTTTGACATCTGAATGAAAGCTTTTCCACATTCATTACATTTATATGGTTTTTCTCCAGTATGAATTTTTTGATGTGTAATAAGATTTTCCTTCCTGCTGAAAGCTTTTCCACATTCCTTACATTCATAGGGTTTCTCTCCAGCATGAATTCTCTCATGTCTGATGAGGTCAAATTTATGACTAAAGTCTTGTCCACAATGATTACACTTAAAGGGGGTTACCAGATGGGATGAGCAATGGTAAAATGGTTTCTCATACTTATTACACTCATAGCTTTTCTCTCTTATACAGCCTTTCTCATAACTAAGTAAATCTACATTATGTTCAAAACCCTTATCAAGAGAGTCACATTCATAGAAGTTTTGTCTTGAAGTAACAATGTCTGAGCTCAGAGGAAATATCTTGGCAACTTTTTTACATTCAATGACATTTTCCTTTATTAGAGTTTTCTTGGAGATGCATGTGACTTTCCTCACAAGTGTTTCCTGTTGCTTCTTGATCTGTTCATCAACTTCCCAAACTTCTAAAATGGAGGACCAAAAATTACTTTTGAATTTTCCTACTACTGCACTATTGATAACATTTCAGAAATTCCCTAAAGTGGGGTTGATCTCTGTTGTTGGCTCTAGTCTCCAAATACGAAAGAAATCTAAAGTGCAAATGTCCCTAGTTCCTAAGACTTGAGAAGTTAACTCCTATAGATAATATTATGGAGAGAAAACTGCCAATAGGCCCACGCTGCTTTGATTGATTTAAAAGTGTACTTATACAATGCAGAAATCAGTAAAATGAATAGATTAAGATGAAAAAGCAAACACATAAATAACTGGATAGGGAGTCAAATGACTAGAGGATAAAAGTAACACTTGTGGTTTAACACAATGGATTGATTGTGCCATTTATCCTTTTGCTGTCATTTTAATGGAAATTTAAAATGACATTAAAATGACAGCAAAAGAATAAAGATTCAAACCCACAGGAGCAAAGGAACTAGGAGTGTAAAAAGAGTAAACAAGAGATTTCAACAAAATAATGGAAGACAAAAGGCATATAGAGAACTGGTTAACTGATAGCTGCGCTAAGAAATTCAAGTTTTGTGCTATCAAGATATAAATGTCAAGCAACAAAGTGATTTGGTAATAAGACACTGCAAAAGCTCAATAATTGGAGGATTCAGCTACTCAAAAGGCAGAGATAAGAGTAGGGCTGAAAAAAAGAGGATTAATCTAGAGTCTGAAAAGGGAGCAGATCCCTGAGGCAGATATTATGGATCTGCTTAGGTAACATCTATTCCAACCTCCTATGTTTTCCCATCCTGCAAAGGATGAGACAGTTAGAAGTACATTTCCTAGACACACTTGAATGCAGGGTTCTGAATGTGATTTAGATTCACCATACAGCATTTTAATTCAAAAATGAATTTAAAGGGAAAAAAAGTGGGCATTTTGCTTGTGATGTTACAACAGAAACAGAAGCTGTAGAGGCATTTTCCTGGTTCAATAAAAAGAAATTTCTTGATCACAGTGGGAAAAGGAACTCACTTAGCAGCTCACTTCTATGGTATGGTTTTGAGACTTATTCCTAAAGGTTTATCCTATAGTCTGTCCTTCAGTCCTCCCCCAAATTCTGTGGGATATTTAATACCTTCACATAAATTCCTTCCTTCTTAAATCACCAGTGAATAGATTCTTTTCTCTATGACTGAACCCTCACCAATACACCACAACCCCTGAGTCCACATAGGAAGTAGCCATGTGTCCACCATCCAAGCAGGAAAAGGAAGCCTCACTTTCTGAAGAAAATGAAACACAGAGGCTCTAGACATAGGAATAAGTAAACTAGATGCAGAGGAAAGGCTTCATACAAAAAAAGTAGGAATTATACAAACATTTATATATTGAATAGTGAGACCTCCAATTCCTTTCTGTTGGCTAGCCTCACAGGTACTGGCATGTACCTCCAGGTAGGAGATAGGAAGAGATCCACAGAATTGGCTTTTGGACTCCACAAAACACTCCTAGGTGCTAATCTAACCATTACAATACACTATGTCTCGTACTCAAAGAGCAACACAGATGTGTTAACTGTAAGAATTTTAGAATTTCCTTCTTATCCATTCATATATCAACATGAAGTAAACTAATGACATTCATGGATTCCTTATTTAAATAAAGATTTTAAGAGCTCAGTAAAATTAAAAATAGATTAAAAAACAAAGCAAGCAGAAAAATTAGCTAAGTAGTAATTCTAGAAATGATAACAAGTAATACAAAGATATGTAATTAACAGCCGTATCTTGGCTCAGTAGTAACAGTATGTCAATGATAACAAAATAAGCAGTGAAAAATAAATTGAGTATTTATCTTTCTTGGTCTGCAGATACATATATCAGGGCAATCACATAATTGATGAGAGTTCTTTACTGGAGAATTTCAGCTGATAAAAGCAGAAGGAACCTCTAATAAAATAATGGATCTAGGCAATAATCATCAATGGCTGCTAAAATCCTTAAGGGAAAGGTTAATAAGTATCTTTAAAACAGGTGAATTCTGATTCACAACACATGCATCTGTCTCAACACATGATCAATCCCAGTATTTCTCAAAGTGACACAAACCAACATAAGATGCAGTAAGATGTACACAGCAACCATCAAATCCTGTTGTGTTCTGCTTTTGTTCTTTCATCATGGCTCACATACTGTTACCAAAATGATAATATTCTTTTCTGTATCATTGGCTCTATGTTGGTTTTCCATACTGTTGGAGTTCCATCAGATGTGGGTTACTGAAAATTCAGATAACTGGATATTTTTAAACCTTTATATTCAGTTATCTTACAAGCATCTGCTGGTAACTATTGTAACCTTGCTGCCAAGTTAGATGTAACCAGGCAAAAGGCAAAACTACAGCTTCAGTGGTTAAAGAAGGGATAAAGTTAAATTGCCAACAACATTTAAAAACATAAAAGAGGTCCTGCAGAGAATACAGACTTGTGGTTACCGGGGGGTGGTGGTGCTGGGTAGAGGGTGGGAAGGGATAGACTGGGATTCCAAAATTGTAGAATAGATAAACAAGATTACACTGTATAGCACAGGGAAATATACACAAAATGTTATGATAAATCACAGAGAAAAAAATGTGACAATGAGTGTGTATATGTCCATGAATGACTGAAAAATTGTGCTGAACCCTGGAATTTGACACAACACTGTAAAATGATTATGAATCAATAAAAAATGTAAAAAACAAAACAAAACAAAACAAAACAAAAAAACATAAAAGAGGTCCTGAAAGCAGACAAAGATTGGAACTCTCTGACTCTATACTAGATAACCCACCAGGTATTTCACTAATCCTTTACAATCAGACATGCTTATAATTTTACTCCACAAATATGTCATGTTAATTTTACTCTCCAAATCTTTTGTTATTTTTTTTCATTTCCTAAGTAAGTCTTAAGATCTACAGATCTTAACAGGAAAACAGCTTTAAGCCCTCTTTAAAACAAACAAAGGAACAAACAAATACTTTCTCGATCTTGTTACTCCTTCTACAGCCCTTCTCTTAAAACTTTTAAGGTATTCTCTGTCTGATTCATTCATTTACTAAATAAATGCCTCACATGTAATTTAAGATTTCAACAATATTTCATGTGGTTCTGCTGTCTTTTTTTTAAAACTCTAACTGAATCCTTCTGCACTTACTTTGAAGTTCTGCAAGTATTTTAAAACAACAAAAACAATACGAAAAATCTCTCTAAATATAGCTCTACATTAATCAATTCATGAATCATTTACATAAAGAGTAAGATACAGACTTATTTTCTGTTGGTGAGTTAATAACTTAAGTCTCAGACATCAAAGTCTGAAAATATATACTATAACATAGTACTGTCTTATATGTTTTTAGACACCAAGTCACTCCAGTAGATGAAAGCAGCAAGTTAGCTCAGAGATGGGGAAGGATTTATTTACGCTGGAAATGCTGGGGACCATTCATTAGAAACTGAGATCAAAGTTAAACAACTTCTAGAACCAAGACAGGTAAGAGCACTCATAAAAGGCACACTTCAAGGCAAAGTTGTGAAGAGTTTCACAATACTGGAGACATTAAAGACAACATATTCCAATCTTGTCATTTCTGCAGTTATATACTGACCCAAAGATATGAACACACCTATATCATAAAGGAAAAAGGAGTCTCTATGTAATTAGAACCGTTATGTATAATGTTCAGTGAGGGCTGGAGAAAAGGAGCCATGTAAAACAGTTCATAAGGGAATAAGAAATGAACAATAAACAGGAACTAAGGAGAAATCAGAATCCTTTAGAGAGGAGCAAAGAAGAAAGTTCCAAGAAGGTGATCCACAGGATAAATATAGAAGAGGACTTCACTGTTTCAATATGGTGGAACTAAACATCTCTGTCTCTTCTCCTCTCTGCAAACATGAAGAAGAAACAGAAAAAGAAAGTACATCTTCAATAAAAGTAAGACAGCTAAACTCCAATTCCAGTGCATAAGCAAAGACCAGAGGACAGACTGAACCAAGTAGGGAAAAAGCCAGAGACAGTGGCTGTTCTCTCTTATCTCAGACAGAAAGAATGGTGAACAGCGTTCTCCACAGAAGGCACACCCTATGGGCAGAATGAATGAGTCATGTTTTGCAACAATGGGATCCAGATGTGTTTATAACAGGCGGGAACATCATGGTCTTCATCTGGCCCTGTCAAATGGTAGGAAAGAGCTAAACAGGGAGATGTGAAATAGACATTATTCTTGTACAAGTAGGCTGCTGGCACTGGGGTGCAGAAGAGATACTAAGTGCCAGAGGAAGCAAGCAACTGATAATCTCTGATTCAGGAGAAGTAAAGGGCAACCCAACTTTCAACACAAAACTCTGTGATAAAAGAGGTCAAATGAGCAACAGAAGCTTCCTACTAGCTCAGAGCATTTTTCTGGACAATCTTCAACACTCTCCTTCTGTGAATAGTGGGTCCAGCAGGAAATAATCTTTGATTCAAAGATGAGGAATGATAGTTATAAAAGGAACCAGCATCAGATCTATGCAATGACACTACAGAAACCAAAAAACATGAATATGTAAGTTTAAAGGAAACTCCGATATTGACTGATCAATATGTCTCATAAAGTTCTAAAGCTTAAAAAGAAAAGAAATCTATGGGCATCCAAGCAAATATATAAAGTCACCTATGAGGAGAAACAATCGAGTTTCAGATTTCTCCAAGCAACATTCAAAGCCAGGAGACAGTAAAGGACTGTCTAAAGTCCTTAGGTAACTGTCTACAAAAACGTCCAGGGAAGACAGTATGCTCAAGAATTACGTACACAGCCAAATCTCAGCTAAATAGAAAGGTTTTTTAAAAAGGCATTTTCTTACATGCAAAACCTCAGAGACACTAGTTCACACTAAATTACAAGCTCCATGAGGACAGGACTTTGTTCAGTACACTGCCATATATCTAAGCCCAGAATAGTACTTCATCCACATTGTTACGACTATAAATGTGGTTTCCTTTTCCTTATAACTTCTACTTAATTGTTGAAGTATACATGAACACCACTGATTTTTATTTGTTAATCTGATAACCTACCATCTCTCTGGATTCTCTTACTATTTGTTGCAGTTGATTCCCATGTGTTTTATGGGGATACAATCTTATCATCTGTAAATAAAGATGGTTTTTTACAGGGTCCTTTCCAATTCTTCTGGTACTGATTTTTTTTCTCTTGTCTATTACTTAGCTATAAACCTTTACTAAGAAATTTACAAAAGTTACAAAGGAAATGTTGGAAAGCATTTCTGAAGGGCACAAAAATAGACAGATCTGAACAAAGAAACAGATTATGTTCTTGGATAGAAAACTTTGACATTATGAAGATGTCAACTCTCTGAAAGTTAATTTATACTTCTAACACATTCCCAACAAAAAATCCAGCAGGTTTTTCTCTGGAAATAGACAGGTGAACCTAAAATTCATATGGTAAAATAAACAACTGAGAAGAGCCAGGACAACTCTGAAAAAGAACTGTATGCAACTGAGAAAAGAAAGGGACTGAGTGTCAAGGATAAGAGAGAGACTCACTCTTCAATGTTATCTTTTGGACTATTTATATTTTTAACCAACTGTGCATATGTTATATTTTCAAAAAAATTGAAAGGAATGAAAGGTGGGAATAAGCAAAAGAAGGCAACAATTTGTAATCCAGAAACTTTTAAAGTTTGGTGTAGGGGCGGTAAGGCTGGGAGGTTTAGCTCAGTGGCAGAGCTTAGCATGCACTAGGTCCTGGGTTCAATCCCCAGTACTGCTATTAAAATAGATTAATTAATTAATTAAATTAACCTAACCCCCTCCCCCCGACACAAAACTAAACAAAGAAAACAAAGCTATATGGGATTATGAGGTTTGTGAAATGCAATGGAAAGTGTGAATACTGTTACAAAACTGAGGCTTTTCTAAATGGGAAGAAGGTAAGAAATGAAAAGGAATCTAACTCTGAAACAACTCTGTTTTTAAATACTACACATCCACGAAATATTGAATGCATGAGGGAAAAAAAACACTATGAACACAAAGGAAAGAGAGAGCTACGGATCAGAGACAGGGACAAAATCCTGTAAATGAATTAGGGAAGTTTTGGTATCCTGAAATCAGATAGGGCTACTGGCCTTCTTAAATTTGAAAAAGGAAGATTGCTCTAATGTATGAATAGCATCTGAAAGCATCACAATGATCTAAGGCACTTTAGAAGACTAGGGCCTTTAAGAAAATCTTGGAAAATGTGAAATGGTATCAACCCCCTGAACAACTGTCACGTGGCTTTCTATTCAGACCTGCCTTTTCACTTACTTACCTGGATAGTGTCTTCCAAATATTTCCTCTTCTACCACCCATGGCTCCTCTTCCTGCTCCAACTTGAAGATCACATCTGGTTTGGTGACTTGATAGCTATAATGGGAGACAGCAAAGGACTTGAATGTTAACGCTAGAGACAGTCATCTAGATTTTGGGCTAAGTCCTGGGGACTTGAGAACCTGTGAAAGGTAAGAATGGAGGAACTTCCACAGTGAGACAAAGCAATTAGCCTTTACTCTGAAGACGAGCACATACAATCACATGGAGAAAGGGAAGCCTAGTTAACGACATCAGGCAAGCTGAAGCCTTCACACATTGCAAAAATGGAAAAGAATCTATGTAAAGTTGCAAAGCTACCCTTACCCACTGTGACTAGGTTGCTATAGTTCTCCAGCATCACATCACGGTACAAGTCTCTCTGAGCAGGTTTCATTTGCTGCCATTCCTCCTGGGTGAGGTCCACAGCCACATCCTTAAATGTTACTGTTTCCTGTGAAAGCACAACCTTAATTAATCTGAAGCCATCAAAACTAGACACTATGGTCAAAGCTGTAAGAACTCATTTAGCTACTATCCAGGGATCAGATAGTGTATATCAGCTCTACATTTACCTAATTTTGTATTTATACTGTAGGAGAAAACACACCATAGTAGAAGTATCCTATAAGAGTATGTTAATTATTGAGTCAGCAAACTTTGTAATTCATCTGTTATGCAGGAAACTGGAAATGGTGGTCACTGATTTGCACTGGACTGTGACAGAGATGGAAGAGTTAGATGTGACTCACAGGTAACTGGCTTAGAACCAGTCCAAGCAATTGTGTGATCTAGTGAGAAAGAGAACACAGAAAATGTAGGGAAGGGAGAGAATTAAGGCAGGAGGAAGGAGGAGGGGTGTGAAAATTTGAATGTGCAAAGTTTGAAATTTCTATAGGACTTTCCAGATGGAAATGTTCCACCATGCAGTTAGCAGTACAAAGAGGGGAGATGACAATTTCTCAGTCCATCAACCTAAAATTGGGAGCTGAATGCATGGCTAAAGGATATGAGGGGTTGTAGAGAACATACACAGTGGGTAAAGGGCCAAGGGCATTATCAGTAGTAAAGCATCAAAGAAAGAGTCTCAGGTTTTTGTTTCTTGCTTATTGTATTACAATCACAGGATGAGAAAACTATGAGAGTGGTATAATAGAAACTAAAAAACAAATGATAAATTTCTAGAAAAGAATGTTACTTGATCACAAATATCTAACTCTTCCTCCTTATTTAAAAACTTCAATATCCAAATAAGGAAATAAAAATATTTATCTATAAAGCCTCTAAGAAAGAAATGTATATCCCACATTTGGGAGAATATTCAAGAAATAGTATAAATAAGATAGAAAAATGAGAACTACCAATGAAAATTACCAAAGGCTGAATCACAATGAATGTTTCTGAGAAACTATCTCTATGATCTATGATCATTACTACCAACAACATCATCATCATTGTCTCTATTGAGTACAAGCAGTTAGAATTTCTTTAGATATATTAACTTTCAAAATTCACCTAATAAAGTTATGAAGTAGCTACTATTATTGTCCATTTGAAAGGTAAGGAACTCAGGGTTAAGAGTAACTCTCCCATGGTCATAAAGCTACTATGTGGTAGAGCTGAAATTCCAGCCCAAGCAGTGTAGCAGCAGAGTCCATATTTTTATCCAACACATTGTACTTCTCCAAGTCAGCAGGAAGTCTCAGGATCCCACAAATATCCCCCAATTCAAGACAGATAATTGGAAACACAAGAACTCCTGCACTCAAAACTCACTTTCTTGCTATCCCACTCCTGGGTGTGTTCCAGAGAAAACTCTAATTCAAAAAAATACATGCATCCCAATGCTCATAGTAGCATTATTTACAATAGCCAAGACATGGAAGCCATCTAAATGTCCATTGACAGATGAATGGATAAAGATGTAGTGTGTACACACACACACACACACACACACACAGACACACACAATGGAATACTACTCAACCATAAAAAAAGAGTGAAACAATTCCATTTGCAGCAACATGGATGACCTAGAGATTATCATACTAAGTGAGGTAAGTCAGACAGAGAAAGACAAATATCATATGACACCCCTTATATGTGGAATCTTTAAAAAATGACAAATGAACTTGTTTACAAAACAGAGACTCACAGACACAGAAGACAAACTATGGTTACCAAAGGGGAAAGGGG